ACCTTGAACACTTTATAAAAGGCACAAAGGGGGCTGGGAAGTTGGCTCAGTGGTAGAGAGCTTGCCTTGCATGACTGAGGCCCTGGGTTCAATTCCTCAGCACCACATAAGCAAAAAGGAAAAAGCCGGAAGTGGCGCTGTGGCTCAAGTGGTATAGTGCTAGCCTTGAGCTGAAGAGCTGAGGGACAGCGCCCAGGCCCAGAGTTCAGGCCCCATGACCGGACCCCCCCAAAAAAAAAAAAGGCACAAAGGGTTAGTCAGTCAGTCCTACCTAAGCAGGGGTCCTTAGCGCTATAAACCTCTCAGTGAATTCCTCAGACCCTCTGGGAATGGCTATATGAGGACTAAGTGCACTAAGGGGTCCCAAGGGCCTCCTGCTCCAGCACCATGACGCTTTAGATGCCAGTGGCTGGGCAGAGAACCCTGTAGAGAGTGACTGGCCAGAGAATTCAACAGCACAGAATAGCACATGAAGGAGCAAGCAGGACAAAGCTCTCAGGCTAATGTGTAAAGCTGATATTCCCTGTGGACTCACATTGGTAACGTGTGCCCTATTTTTAAGGAATGATACTAAGTGACCCACACAGGTCAGATGAATGCACTCCATCAGAGGTTTCCAGCTGCTGGAGATGCAGAGCCTGTGACTGAGACCTGAGGAAAGGGGAAACTATGTTGTGAAGCAACCTGACCACTGGCCCAACAAGAAGCCTGGCCTGGGGACACCAAATATTTAAACACAAGGACAGGACGGAAATCCAGAAAGGTCTGGTTCTTTCTTATATGAGGAAACTGAAGGCCAGATGGGCAGTGGGGCATGGGAGAGACCAAGACTACAATCTGAGAGATGGGCCAAGGATAATAAGAGGAAAGACTGAATGAATGAATAATTGGGATGAACCAGCCTGGTATTAAGGAATGATGTCCCCAGCCTTACCTAGATCCAAGGATGGGGTTCTTTAATGCTCCCTGTCTGGGGCTGTCATGGGTGAAAGGCAGATCAGTGAACTAGCGTCTCAGACCTCACAGGCTGCTTAAGCCACCACCCATCTGAAATGTTAACGTCCTTTTTCGTCCAAAGCTGGCAGTCTCGCATCTGCTTGGATCTCTCTGGGGATGGGTAGTTCATCGCTTCATAAGACAGCTTTACTTTAATCAGTGGATTTAAAACATTTCAAAAATGTTACTCATTTTAAAGCCTCAGTTTCCTTATCCACAGAAAGGAAAGCTTGGAGGGGTGTGTGTGTAATTATCTTTCCATAGCACTATCTTTTCATAGCCCTGTAGAGTTTAAGAGGCACTTTCAGAGATGCTGTGGGGGAGAGAGAATGAGGTGTAAGAGGCTGGTGGGCATTTGGGCTGAGGATTGTGAAAACCTAGGCATCAACCCTGGAGTGACGATGTGATTCCTATAGGTAACAAGTGGTAGCTGTAGAGGGGAACAGCTGAGGCAGATGGGGGGCAGGGGGAGCAAAAGCCCTGGGTGAGCAGGCACACTTTTCCTTGGCTCCATTCAGATGCTCATTTATCTCTTCATAAAGATTTCCACCACTGCTGCCCTGGGCCCTGAGATACTGAGGACTGTTAAACCCCATCAGTTAAGCACAGCCCAAGTCGGCAGTGCTTGGAATCTAAACAGTAACAATGCACCAGGGCTAGACAGGCCCTAGAGAGAAAATGCTGTATAGCTCGAACACAAAGTCAACTCCACAATTAACTAGCTGAATTGTCTTGGGCTAGCTGCTTAACCTCCCTGCTCTTTGGTTTCTCCATAGGTAAAGTGGGGTCCCTACACCTGAAAGGGTGCAGGATCCAATGAGAACTCCCCAATGGCTGGAAACAAGTCTTAGGAATTTGACAGCTGCTTTCATAGTCATCTCTACTATCTATCATCACTGAGCTGGTCATTCACATGCAGCCCAAAGCAATCACTATACATGTCCACTTTAGGAGACACATGGGATCATTCAGGAGACATATGGCTACCTCTAGATCTGCTTGACTCCAGCCTGAGCTTCTACTGCATAGGGCAGCCTTCCAGGCAGAGAGACACACAGAGGATACTTCCCTGGCACTAAGAATTACACACATGCAGACATAAACCCCAGCATCAGCTCCAAAAAAGGTTACCCTGAAAGTTGAAACTTTGATGATCCTGGCTGGTATCTATCACATCAATCACTTCAGTGATGGTACACACAAAGAATCAAGTCCCAGGGAGCTGTGGTAAGATCCCCACAACCAGGAAGTCAACCAGAAAGTGTCTCTTTAAATCATCCCTCACCCCTGCCCCTCCTTTTTTTGTGTACTGGTCCGGGAGTTTAAACTCAGGACTTGGGCATTATCCTTGAACTTTTTGTGCTCAAGGCTAGTGCTCTAAGACATAAGCTCCACTTCTGGCTTTGTGGTGGTTAACTGGATAAGAGTCTCTAGGGTTTGTCTGCCTAGGGTGGCTCAGAATCAGATCTCAGACTCCTAAGTAGGATTATAAGTCCGAGCCACTGGCGCCTGGCTCACCATCCTTCTTAAATACAAATGTATGAACAAATTGTGGGGTATTCTCTGGAAAGAATGCAGGAGGTCCAGCAGACTCCTGGATAGAGCCAAATACCAAACTTAGATTTGTCCCCATTAAAAAGGCCAGCCCTCAAGATGCTTCTGGGGAGCAGGGGTGGAGATGGGGAGGAGATGGGAAGGGTTGGGAAGGGGAAACAAAGGAGGAGGCAACAATGCTTGATAAGAAATGTACTTATTACCTAGCCCATGTAATTGTAACCCCTCTGTATGGTATTTTCACAATAACAATAATAATAAAAAAAGATGCTTCTACCCTGCTATGTAGCCACTGCACTGTGAGGACCACTGACAATAGCAGCAGGAATCTATTCCAAAGAAAACAGGCAGGGGCAAATTCTGTACAAATACCAGGTTCTCACCACTCCCTGAGACCCCTGGTGACAGATAATCAGAAAATGGCCCACAGAAAGCTCCTGTTCTGCCCTCAGGCTAGCCCCATGTGTACCAGTGAGACAGGGAAGGGGCTTATCCTGTTCACATGGCCTATAAACCCAGGCCTGTCATTTCCCCCTCTGTGAGATACCCTAACACCCAATACAAATACTCTTTCCTTTAGGACCTCACTGGGCACTTTGGAGCCAACCCACTGTGCCTCCTGGTGCAAGTCTCTCCGTTGGATGACAGTTTCTCCATCTGTAAAATGAGGCTGTTAGGCCTGACGGACCTCCTTGCTACCCTGACGTTATGAATGCTTGGGGCATCCTAAAGTCACTCTTGTACTCAGTAGCCCTTTAAGACCTGCTAAATGCAGCCCAGCCAAGCTGGGAGAAGTCTAGGGCTACAGGAACTAAAGCAGCCCCGCATATCCATTGGGGTTGGTGGGCACTTGGGATCCCAACAAGGCCTGGGCGTACATCTGTGGTGAAGGCTCCCCCAAGTCACTGGAGGAGAGCTGTCCTTTTTAGAGCCCTGGCTCCAAGTATCCTCTTAATTCTTGCCTCTAGCTGCTCTCTAGGACTACTTACCAGAGGAGTGGAGGACAGTGTGCATGGTGAGTGGCCTGGCAGAGGTCTTGGCTTGCCCTGTGCAAAGAAGCCAAGTGTTCTGGAGGCCACATAACTACTTTCTGTGAATAGGAGTTCCATGAGGCAGAGCTGGATCCTTTAGCAATTGTGGTCTCTGAAGCCTGAAAAGCTGGGCATGGGTCCAACACATAAGTGTTCACTAAATGCCATTCCTTGCCCTCCCTTCTACTTCAAGAGGAATCAAGGGTGGGGTGTGGTAGTGCATACCTGTAATCCCAGTTCCTGTAGGCCAGAGGCAGGATTAACTGTTAAAGAGTTTAAAGCCAGCCTGCACAGCAAGACTTAAGTCTTTTTAAAAAGAAAAAAGCTGGGATGGCTGAAGTAGTAGAGCAATTGCTTACCAAGAATGAAGCTCCAGGTTCAAGTCCCAATACCAAACAAAAAAAGAGGAATCAAGATGCTATTTACCAGTCATGTGTTCTGGGCCCTATATGACTGTTTTGACAAGAAAGAGCTACCAGGGCAAAGTCTCCATGTTTCTTATAAACCTGTCGTGGAGACCAGGTTTTTATTCTGTCACCGGCTACAAAATAAGAATTCCTAGGTACATGGCCAGAGATAATTTTGTTCCTACCAATTCACCAGGTCTTGAACCATTGCTTCCTCTTTGGTCTTGGCTGCTAGAAAAAGTAAAGTTTTATATCTCAAATGCTGTATATTTCAGTATAAATTTTTTGATGGACCATCCCCCCATTTCTATAAAAATGTTTTGTTTTTCTATCATCGGTTAACTATACATGACATCCGTATACCTGGCGCCGTCAGTCTGCTCCTGGTATACGTGGAATATAATCCAGTAAACTGTTGGGAAAATTCAATACAAATGTGATATTCAACCACCACTTTGAAGGTGGCTCAGTGGTAGAGTGCTTGCCTCAACCACAACCACCACTTGAAAGCACCATCTTCCTGCGTGGCCAGCTCCAGCTCCTTCTCTGCATCCTCACAAAGTTTTGGGTTGAGTACTAGATTTAAAAATGTGGTTTTCCCCAAACAAACAACATTGACTGCTCAAGGCAGAAAAGTGGAGCTTAGTGGGAGGTCTTTGGGTCACAAGGACACCTCGTGAATGGATTAATGTCATTTCCTGGGAGTGGGAGAGTACTTGCTCTGTGGGACTTCATTAGTTACAGGAGAGTTGATGTTTACAAAGCAAGCACCAACCCCCTCATGTTTTTTGTTTCTCTCAAACCGAACAGTCTTCCATTCTTAAAATAGTCTGCCATTCTTTTTTTTTCCTCCTGTGTTAATGATGCAGCCTGAAGACATGACCAGATGTAGCTATCCTAGTTCGGAATACCCCCACCTCTGGCACTGCTAATTTTTCTTTATATATTATCCAGGCACGGTACTGTATTATAGCATTAGAAGGCGTATCAGACACTGTGCTGCTCTGCTTACCTGTCATGATCCTCTGGGCTTCATAGGGCTCCATGTAGCCAGCACTCTCCCCCTTTCCTGCTTTGCTCTTGAGATCATTCTTGGCATCAAAAGGATCAGAGTAGTCATCAGCTATGGTCACCTGCAGCAAGGAAGTGGGTGGGGGAGATAAGTTCACCAGGGCTTCTTTTGTTCATAACCAGGCTTTGACCCAGTAAACACCAGCTGAACTAAGAGGGAAAGAAGGGCCAGGAACTTGAGCCAGTGCCCACACACCAGGAATCCCAGCACAAGCCCCCTGAATCCATGCACACAACCTAGCCCAATTCAGGCAGTGAGGTGAGAGCACAGGGCCTCTGGTCCAAAGTCCTGAAATGCAGAACACAGAGGGTGTCTTTGGAGAACGTGACTCAGTAGAATGGAATGGAAGTGGAGGAAATGATAGAAAGAAGATTGCAGAAAACTTAGAAATGCTGACAAAGCCCTGGTGCTGGCTGAGGCACAGAAGAGCTGTCTACAGATAATTATGTTCGATGTTCCATTTCCCCCAAATCTGGAACACAACGCCTTGGGTCATCAGACAACAATCTGGTGAGATCAATGCATTGTGTAGAAGATGACTGAACCCCAGACAGTCAAATAAAAACACTGAATCCACTCAAGAGATGGACAGACAAGCCCAGGAAAGGCTTTGGAGGCAGAAGGCCTCAAGTGGGGACCTGAGCAGAGGGCAGGGCACTTCCTGTGTCCTCACTTTTCTCTCAGCTACTGCCCAGCTCCTCCCTCTGAGAAAAGTTTCACTTTGGCTGCAGAAGAATGAGTCACCTGGGCAGGTCTCAGGGGAAAGAGGACTCCCCAAAGAACATGTGTATCTAGAATTCTAAGGCTTCAGAGACCTAGTTATACATTTTCCCTGGCAGGAGTGACAGTTCCCAGCAGCGGGCTATAAGGAAAAACAGCAACTTCCCTCCCACTTCTGACTTTCTAACTTTTTTTTTTTTGGGGGGGGTGTGAATCGGCCAGGGGGAAAAGCTCAAGAACCCACTCAACCTGTACCTTCACACCCCAATTTGGTACCCTCTTAGGTCACACAGCAGTACCTTTAGGAAGGGGAAGGTTAACATTTCCCACCACCCTTGGGGTTACTGAATTGTTATTTAAATCATGGGTTTAATTAGAAACCACAGGAGCCTCTAGTCTCTCCCAAATCCTGGAATGCAAGGCATCTGCAGGACCAGCAAACCCAGGGGAAGGGAAAATCCCTCTTTGTCTGTTCAGTGAGTATAGTTTGGTGGGGAACAAGTGACCACTGGCTGCTCAGAGTATGATGCTGCCAGCAGAAGGCTATCGGGCAGAGCAGTTCTGGCCTTCTGTGGCTGGGACCAAGTGCAGATATACAAACAGGAGCAGATCTGCTAGTTAAGACCCACCCGTCTCAGGGCTGCCTCCAGATGAAGAGGATGGTCAAACTCGGGGTCCAGCAGGCACATCCAGAAGCTGACTTTGTAATCAGGGCTTTGCTGGAGACTCAGGGAGCTCAAATGACACTACATAGAGGAAAGAAGAGGGTGGGGGGGGGAGCTCTGCCTGCTGATGCCTTTCATTTGATATTTGTACTCTACCATTTGCAGAACACATTAGGGAGAAAATTATATGCAGGAAGCACTGTCAAACAGAACAGTTCAGACACGGGGGTGAGGTGGGGGACCAGGCCTTTGAGTTCAAGGGACTAGACAGCAGATGACACCTGATCTCACTGCCCCCATCCCAGACTGCCTCACACTTTCCACAATGCTAATGTCCTTCATGTAGCCTGCACTGAGGAAGGGAGGAAGTGTTTCCCCAAGAAAGCAAAATTATTTGGGAGATTTGCTGGGCAACATGGGGCGGGTATGCTGCAGTCTAATCTAGAAATCAGCATTCCAGTTCCTCTTGGAAATGCTCTGTAATTTGCAAACATGAGGCTTGCAGGATATAAACCAAATCTTTGTTCTCCTTAGACAGGAGCTCTGGGAGGCCTGCGATAAAGCAGGCGCTATCTATATTTTCTAATTAAAATTAGATCTGAGCTCATGCTGTCACAGCCCCCAGCTGCCTGCCCTGCTTACTTCCGTTTCAATAAGAATTTACAAATCCCCAAACCAGGAAAAGCCCCTGGTCTCTGCTGACATATGGTTCCAGTTATACCTGCTGACAGTTGGAAATCCTACTGTTGTTGTTTTTTTTTTTTTAGCTTAAAATTCTGTTAGTTTAAGAAACAAATCGGAAGGATCCTGAAAATGTATGTTTAATCAATTTGCTTTTGAACTTCAAAGTAAGGCTGGTAGAGGAAAGGGAATTGAAGGTTTAAACAACCTGAAACTTAGCAAACACTGTACTATGCCCAATCCTATACAAAATCATGTCATAGTTGGGAGTAAAAATTTAACCAGGTGTTAGGGAGTTGAGCAGGCAGTCAGTCAGCCACAGGTCCTAGCCACCGGGACTGGGTGGTGAGTACTGACCAGGTTGCCCAAGGCAGGCTAGAGGGTTTGTGTGAAAGTTTGCCCTTCCATCTTCTGCTAAAAGGGGAATAAGTTTCCCCAAGAAGCAGGCCTAGATTCCTGCTGGAGTTGCTTTTACTTTGCTTTAAAACACCTCAGTCAGTACATCTTACTGAACATGTATCCGAAAGGAAGCCAGCTGGGCAGCTGGGACCTCTGCAGGTCAAGCCATCGGACTGTACAAGCATTCTTTGACTTTTTAGGTCTCAGATTGGAAATGCTTGACAGTTTGTTGGGTTACTCCCTTCCTCCCCCAGCCCTGCCCCCAATACAGAGTTGCAACCAGAGAGGGCCCAGAGTTGAGGTGGGAAAGCAGGCACTGGTCCCACTTCCACTGAGTCAGAGAGGAGGAGGAAAACAAGGACTTGGGCTGCCTTGTCCTTCATTCTCCTCCTAGGATAGGTGCGAAATGCTAGACAAGCACCTTTTTCTGCTTTCAAATGGAACCACAGACCCTGGGTTAGTCCAGTGTCCCTAAAAGTCTTTCACTGACTAGGTTCTTGCAACCCAGAGGGGCAGGGCCTTGTGAAACTCACCCTGTAAATGGACAACAGAAAGATACAGGGCTAGTCTACATCTACACACACACACAGACACACACACACACAGATACACACACACAGACACACACACACACACAGACACATACACACAGACACACACACAGAGACACACACACTAAGGTCTAGGCTCCAAAGATACAGTGCTAGTCTACATCTACATCTACACACACACACACACACACACACACACACACACACACACTAAGGTCACACACTAAGGTCTAGGCTCCAAAGATACAGGGCTAGTCTACATCTACACACACACACACACACACTAAGGTCTAGGCTCCACCAATACTCTCAGTCTCTCCACCATGGCTCTTTGCACTTCTGTTCAGCACATCCTGTTGGATGGAACTCAAGTCTTTCCAGCAGTCTTAGCTCTGGAGTGTTGATCCTGGGTCTTAGCTATGTGATAGAAAGTGGTCTTCCTGTCCCTCCCTAAGGGAAGTGCAGGAGGAAGATAGGTGTTGCCACTTGGTCACCCTTCTGTACTGCCCCTTCCCCTTCCAAGGTTTTAGACTTTTGTGAGGCAACTGCCTCTATGTGGAGAAGGGACCTCTCGTCACATTCTCAGGGAAAGGCACACCAAAATGCACAGAGTTTGACCTGTGTTTATTAACATTTATTTTCAAACATACACAAAGCCAACAGTAATGAGAAAACACAGGCAGTCACTTTACCTTGCCAATGAATAATGGAACCATTAAGTAAACTGCTAATTCCATGCTATGGAATAGGAGGGAGCAAGTTTTAAAAAAAAAGTTTTATGGGCTAGCACAGTTCTATGACACTATTTTGAATGTGAAGAAGCCACAAGACAAGATAAATACAACATAACACAACAAACATGTTTATGAAAAGGCAAAACAGAAACCTGCATCTCTATTTTGGAGAAAAGGTTGGTAGAGAGCTATGTCCCCAATTGGAGGTTGGAGGGAAGGGAGGATCAAAGGAGACTGTTTGTACTGCAGTGTCAAAACATTTGCCAACAAGGAGAATCTATTGGAGCATTATATACAAAACCAAAAGTATTTCTCTTTCAGAGGCTATTTTTGGTACAGAAGACAGACTTTCCCAAACCTGCCTGAAGACAGGAATGGCTTGGAACGCTTGTAAGACAACAGACTTCTAGCTCCAATAATCTGTATATTTAACAAGCAAACCAGGTGATTCTTATCAGGAAAGTTTGAGAAACAAGAAAGCAGTGCCAGGCCCTCCCCCACCATTCTGAAAACAAGCTTCCAGATATTATTCTGGAATTTCACTTTTCCCAGCTATTTCTCAGCCCTGTTCATTAAAGTCAAGCAAGTACTCAAGTCAACTGCAGTTCTCAGCTTTCTTCCCTGAGGGTCAATGGGAGTGAGAGAGCTGACCTGACATGCCTTGGTCCATCTTTAGTCTCCATCTCAGAGAGGAAGGTGGAAGAGCATTCTCTGTGCAATCCTGAGGGCTGGCTCCAGATTGTGCAACAAGGCCTGTGCAGGGTCAGTGGAGGGAGCGGGGTGTGGGGAGAGTACTCCACATCAATCCCACCCACCCCACCCCCCCAGCCCCTGGGAAGCCAGCAGGTAACGAAGGTGGATGCCCTGAGGACTGCAAGACTTGGCTGTTCTAAAGCCTAGATGTTTCTAAGCCACATGTAACTGGCTCTCAGCAAACTCCCCTCCTTACCCCTTGACCCCACCAGCTTCTAGAAGGGCTGCTGCACAGGCAAGACAAGCTACTGCAGAAATACACAAGAGGTTCCTGCTGAACCTATATCAACTTACTAACAAGGAGTGTGAGATCCTCAATGTCCCACCACCTCATGGTCAGTTCTCACAAGTCATAGTCACCTTGTTTTGCACTGCTGTCTTAGTAGCTGGGGCAAGAGCTGTCCCACCTCAGCCAGGGACTTGCTGGTGGGATCTCCTCACTGCTCTCTCTCCCTGGGAAGTGAGGGGGTGGCATCCGGGGAGGTGCTGGATTCTTGACAGGCTGTGATGCCTTTCTACTGTACTCCAAAACAAACTACAGGTAAACACACTTGAGAA